ACTCGCAAAATTTTGGCGCCGGAGCTTGCTTGGGTGCCGAGTTGAAGTACCCGGACAGACACACACACACACACACACGCACACAGGGGTCGTCACAGTATGCGTTTTCGCATTTGCGTATATGCAAAAACGCGTAATAAAATGAGAACTTGCTTTGACAAAAATATGCTTGTGCGTTGACTCCCCAGACAGCATCACGGCACTGATAGCAATAAACAGTCAGATTGACAGGACACAGCAAGAACTGATGCCCTTTGACTTGAATGGATCGCTTGGAAGCCATTTTCATTTTGAACATGCCACCTTTATCCTTTGTGACAAATGTCGGACACCGATCCAGAATTTTTTCGTTTGTGTTTGAGCGCATATTCAATACAACCTGATAAATTGTTCTGGTTAATTTCTGCTCTCGATGCAAGCAAGAAAATTTCTCCGGCAGAACATACGGTAAGTTGAAAAGTAAGGTAGCTTGGGATAGTTTAGGTTAAAAAAAGCGCTGCGTGCGGCAAACAGCGGTCTTGGATGGCAAACAATTCTTTTCCAGAAATAAAAACATTAATAAGCTACAACAGCTTCTTGGATATAAGCAGAAATGGCGTATGCAAAAACCATGAGTGAATAATAAATAGGCAGGTCGCTAGAGGAGCATTTACACAAAATCATGCACCATTATGGACAGAAACTCGTCAATTGTACTTATCTAGTCAAGAAAATGTATGTTTCAGCCCGTTGTATCCCCCGGAACCTATTACTTTTCTATTTCCTTCCAAAATTATTACAGTGCAGCAACGGCGTACTTTGTTTTTAGCAAAAAAGGCTCCTATCGAGCGCCTTCTTTCCAACAAGCCAGAAGCACCTCACTCCTTAACAGGGAGACGTTTTTCTTGCCATTCCCGCTGGCTTTAGCTAGGATATTGCAGCGGCAGGAAAAAAATTCAATCAAAAAATAGCTCACTTTAATGATCGTAGCTAAGGCGCAGATAATAGCTAAGGAGCGCGCATCACAGTTCTCGATATCTTGATTCACTGAATTCAGCATGTTTTCCAGCGATCGAATTAGTATTGCTTCAGCAACACGCGTTTCCATTGCTGTATCACCTTTGCTGATATGTGCCAGTTGATTTGCATCAAACAAACTTCCCAGACCTGGAAGACGACGAGATACATAAAACCCATTCATAGGAATCTTGGAAGGGTATATTCAAAATAATCGTTCTTTTAGAGTTGTCAAGAAGAAGTTCCAAGACCACCAAGATCGCTGAAGAATAACAGACAGTGTCGACGCTACTGCGATGTAGCCACAGTCGAATGCAGCTATACCAGATCTACCCTATTCTGGGGTACTTTCGGCTCCCGATCCTCCCTCCCCCCATTTCCTCCTTCTTTATGTACACGCTTCGACTTGTCGCCAGTTGCTTAAATGTTAGCAGTTTACTTCTCAAAAAGCTATTAAGGTATTTCATAAAATAAGGATTAGAAAAAAACCTATTAGACGTTTCTGACGAAAATCAGTAAGATTTTCGCCGATATCGTCGAGCGATTTTTTTCTTGCTGCAACGAAAATCCTACGCAGCTGGTCGATATCGCTATCCGCTGCGTGCAAGCTCCCTGCTAGCACCTGTAAAACAAGCATTAATCCAAAAATAATGTGAAGTTATTTTTTAATACATGCCAGCCGTCGAACTAGGGGCAGAGATCAGTCAGTAAAAAATGTAGGTACTTTATCAAGGTAACGATGCAAGTGCGACCACTCATTTTTGCTGGAATCTTGAAGCAGTCAGTTCGTTAACAATGCAAACGGTTGTTGCTTTCCGGATCAACATGTGCACAGATTCTGAAATACTTTTACATTTTCCTGCATGTGGGAGGGAACAGAAAAGGGGCGCTGGCCGAGACAGCATTGCATTTCTGGTTCTTGAAGTTGCTACCCGCCAAAAAAGTTACATATTTTTTCGACTTCCGTACGTGACGCCCGAGCGTACACGAGCGATAATTTCAAAATGAGAGGATCGCACGTGAGACGGGAATATGCTCCCAAGCTTCAGCTTCCTAATTTCTCTGGTTGTGAGTTGAAAGTGGGTGACAAAATTCACTCGCCCGCACACACACGCATACCGACAACCTCCTGACAATGTCTTTTGCTAGCTGTAGCATCGCTATAGCGCTTGTGACTTTTATTTTACGGCAGTATTTATGTGTTTTTGCACAGTACAGCAGAAACGCTTGGAAACAGATCACCTACAAATAAAAGTCAGAAGTCATACAACTGCTTTCCTTGTAGCAATGGCTCTAATAGTAAACGGAAACTGATCACAAGCCTAGAGTTAAAAAGCTCAAAGCAGTAGTCGTTGGAATCTTTCCCACTAACAGAACCCACGCAGCATTATTTAACGTCATACTCAATATTACCAAATGAATTTAAAATCTTCATGACGTTTAATTCAAGAACTTACTGGCAAATTACTGCAAAAATTGCAAAAATATTTATTTTCAGCTGATACAGCAAAAAAAAAAAAAAACAAACCCTATCGATGCTTTGAATTAAGGACTGGTCGATGCTACCCCAGCAAAGTGGAGAATTTGGAATGAGAAAGGTGGAAAATATTTCATAAGCCCATTTTCGTAAATCCTTTGAGCCAGCGCCCGAATTCTGGTACGCATCCGTAATCAGATAGAAAAACTGAAAGTTTCCAGAACTTATCCATCGAATAATTTATTTGCCGAGTTAGCAATTGAAAAAATCAGTGATTTTCAATTAAAACAGCACCTTGTCCAGTGGCATAACGATACGTTTTCCAAGGCACTTTTTTTGGATGCGACAGCCAGGGTAGTTGATTAGAGGAGGGGACACAATTGTTAGCTTTCGAACAGGCATATTTAAAAAGTACGTTCTTTAATAATTAACTATATAAGGAAAATTAGTAACGATATCACCAAGACTAGTAAACCATAAAAAATACAGTTTGTGAATATGTTGATATACTATTAGCACTTTGAAGACAGCCATATGGTACCTGGAAAAAAAGAAGAGAGTTTGTGCCCTTTTCCTTCTGCTCTCCCCTCCTCTGTCGAGAACCAGCCCCTCTGCTGTCACCTTCTTCTTTCCTTTCACCCCACGCAGTGAACGCACCGCTGAACCGAATAATTTTTTAAAAGTTTTGAAACAGGAAGTGAAAGAAAAAATAGATACCACGCTGCTTGGATTGGCATTTGTTAAAAGATAATTAATAAAAGCCGCCAAATGGGCTGGCCGCGTTTTGAGGTCAGCAAAATTCGAAAATGGTCCCTGAGCTTCAAGCTGAAATATGTATCACTTCAAAAGTAGCAAAAAATAATAAGTTAGTGAACTAAATCCAAACATAAAGGAGCAAATCAGGAACTGCCTGATGAGTAAAAAACATCCAATAAGTACAGATGTGGCGTAAAAACCAAAATCCCCTCACAATCGACCGCCAACAGAGATATCGAACTCCAAGTAATACCACACTACCAACAACAACCACACGCTACAGAGCTGTCAGCAGCTCTCTTTTTGTGGGAAAGACCTATCTAGCATCAAATTTTTACACGAGCTTTCAGGTGCTCCTGAATATGTATATATATTTGTCTGTTAGATATTCCTAGTGCATATATATATTTGCACCAGGAATATCTAACAGAGAAACGCAGTGAACGAACTTGAAAAGATATATGTATGAATATGCACTCAAATTGGTTTGGTGAATCGATTGTTTCCGTTCGTAGACATTTCATAATTTCTTTCAGCAAAATCAATTTTTGCAACATTAAAAATGCCCTAAAAGGCTATTTTCAAGGTAATCAAATGAGCGCTTTTTCGGACTTGTTAGAATTTCGCATCACTTCCCTTTCTGGGCTAAAATTTCATGAATTTTTTCAGAAAGGAAGCTCCACGAATCCGTTAAGTGTTAAGATGAAAGACAGACAGCAAATCGTAACGGGAAAACTCTTTGGTAATTAGAAGAGTTTCCCTCGAAACAATTATGTAAATGGATTTCCACTTGGAAAAATAATTCGAAGCTGGTTGACGTTCGTCACAAAAATTGCGCAGACAGTCCGCAGAACAAATCGAGCGTACTAAAGGTGGTTAACGCAAGAAAGATATTATTGCAGAAGAGGAGAATATGAAAAGAGATACGATTAGGTACAATGCTGATGCCGGATTATTACTAGTTCAAAAAGCTACACGCTTGGGTTTATATCTTTGGCAGTCTTCGACGCTCCTAACTCGAATTTGTTCAGATGCGCCTAATCAAGACAAGGACAGGCGCACACACGCTTTCAAGCCCGTGGCAAATGGAAGAATCAAAATTAGGCTGCTTCAATTAGATTAATTTAAGGTATTTTGGTTTATTAAACATAACACAAATCAGAACACAACTACTGAGATCGATCGGTGAGTCATTTGCAGTAAATATTATTGGTATGCAAGCATACGCTAGGCGTAGCTACCCAAATTTTTCATGCCCCACTTCATGCTCAGTTTCTCAACTGCGTAAGCACAGCAATTTTCCGAGGATATCCAAAATTTGTTTTTCCATGCATCTTATAAATTAAATACAAGTTATTTTCACCTTTTTTGGCAGAACTGACAGAGCTGCAATTAGTGAGAAAAATACAGTGGCATGGAAATTTTCTAAACCTCTTCCAAAAATGGAGCAAACCAGATCGAAGCATGGTAAAAAAGTTAAGTAGCTAACGCTAAAAGGAATCTCTGATTCATCGTCATCTGCTTCTTCCTCCATTGGGATGATTTCTGCGGGATGTACAAAATGCATGCCACTATTGATCATCCATTTCTCCTAAAGAAGATGTTAAGTGCAAGAACTGTATCGGAAAATGTAGAAAATGTTCATAAAAAACAACAGATCTAGAATTCGTTTTTCCACAAGAAATGGAACTGTTTCAAAGCATCATATCTAAGAGAGTGACGAAATTTTTGGTAACCAAGTCGACAAAAAATATAATTTAAACAAGGCTGGAGGACGTTTGCTAACTATTCGAAAAATCCCCCAGCAGGACAGCACTTCGCTGATTATACGAAGATCCTGAAGCGACAGTTTGTTAAAAAAATCAATAGGACAAAAAAAACTGCAAGAATGCAAAAGTGAGAAACAAAAAGAAGGAAATCCTTAACAAGGATAGAGGAAGGAGTTGTGGAAATGAGAGACTATAGGCTGCCTGCTCTTTAGCTGCAGCCTTATTTCTTCAAAATTTTGTTTTAGCAAACGCAGAGTTAACCAATCGAATAAAAGGCGAGTTGATTTGTTGTCCACCGTGAAATACACAAGCAGCGCGGGCGGGCAGCAGGCAGTTTCCAAAAATACTCCCTTGGGTATCCAGAAGTACTATGTTCGTCTTCGTGAACGTACTGCGCGTTCTAAAACATTCTCCTCTCCACTTCTTTTCATTTCCGCCCACGAATTCAAAAACACAAGTACTTCTGCCAAGAAATACCCTAAATAATATGCTCAATGAAGGCCTCGGTGCACTTGAAGAATGACAAAATTATAAGCAATGAAAAGATTGCGACAAAATGGAATGAATGAAAGATGCCAAACTGCGATGTAGGCAGAAAAAAAGCAGGGCTGAATTATCTGCAGAGGAAACAAAACGACCAAGAAATAGGCTTAAACACGAAGAAAGCAAAACCCCACGACAGGGAACACGTCTCTACAACTAATTAATGACAGGAGCTGAATGGGCCAGTACATATCGAAGGATTTCCACGTTAGCATTTTGTTCCTTTTTAACACTGCGACATTAGACGCGACCTGACCGTGAGGTCAAGAGTCAAGAGGCAACAACGCTGATAAGCTGAATTAAGGCTAGGAATTTTGCAACCTCCTGTGAACAATACGTCAATATATAGAGTTTTGCAGCTCGCTCCAGTTAGATATTTTTAAACTCGCTTGAATTTTTTCCGGAAACATAGAGTAGAAAATAGCACGCGATAAATGCTGAGTTGCAGTCGTAGGCAGACCGAAGACTATACTGGAAAAGTCCCAGTTAGCTTCCGCTGTTCTAGAGTTAAGCTAGTCAAGCACAGAAACGCCGAACAAAAATGCACATAAGATCGCGTTATAACATGTTTTTCTGTTTCGTGTACCAACGCATGAAAATCAAAACTCCTTCCATAAGTCACTTTCAGTGAGAGAGAGAGGTGCTCGAAAGCAGCCCAACAGCAACTTTCCGCTGAAAGCTTTCGATGGTACCTCTACTTATGGTCACTTGGAAGCAAGCTGACAGTGGATTTAACCGCCTGACATGTAGCGGTACCAAATTACCTTGGGAACGAATAACCGAATCGTACGTAAATGGCTGCTCCACTCCCGGAGCTGAATCCTCGATCTATTAATATACTTTGCCCGTCAGTATGCATAAACTTATAATAAAGAAATTTAGGATGTGAAACGATAGGTTTGGAAAATATGGCCAAGCTCGAACGAAACTCATTGTGCAGTTTAAACGATGCAGCTGCCTGAAGGAGGATAAAGCACTTTCTAAAATTAGTCTTAGATGGCCAGACTACTCTTTTATTTTTTCAGTCTTAAACATCTTTCCATTTGATCATGATTATTGCTAGTACTGCTGTTACGCATATATGTGTATGTTTCCATTCCTAAAATAAAACTCATTTTCAGCCCTCAAAAATCCCATGAAAAGTGTCTAATTAAGCAGCTAATTTAGGTGACAATTCATTAAAACAATATATTTGATTCTTAAAAAACCAATCCAAGACAGCCATCAATCATAATGCACGCTGAACTGGTATCCGAGTTAGAAAATAAAGAATAAAAATGAGATCTGTTAATTTCCTTAAAGCTTACAAGCTAAATGTACGAAATTCCCCACCTCTTCCATACACAAACTTTAAAGCAAACTAGCTTTCTATTTCTTGTGGTTTCTGTTTTAAGTTGTGCGCAAGATAGTCACAAAGACAAAGATACGCCCGCTCCGCATTACTTTTTAATGCATGCAAAAAAGCGAAAAAAATAAAGACCTGAGGCACTGGATCTATATTTCTGAGCTGATTTTGCAAACTTTCAATTCGCTTTAATGCACGCTCCAACTGCAATCCTTCAATCGATGTTTCGCGCAAACTCTTAAATTGAATAAATGGAGATGATAACAATGGTAATGATAATGATAGTGATAATGATAATAACAATAATAGTAACAACAATAACGACAATGACAACAAAAATAATGACAAAAATAACAATACTAATGACAATGCTACTACTAATAATAATAGTAGTGATAGCGGTAATTTAACTACAGTGCTTTCCCCTATTATGCTACAAACCAATAAGCTAATTTTGAAATCTTCTCCTACACCCGGATAAGACACTTTTTTAGATGACTACTGTGAAAGAGTTAAGCATCCGATATATTCATTCTCAGTGATCGTTTGTACATTAATCTGTTGTCAGAAGGCTGACAATAAAACATCTGGTTAATAAATATTTAAAAAGAAAATGGCACCGCTTTTGTGGAGAAAGAGGGTGAATCGAGTAGCGGCATATGCAGGAAGGCGGCCAGATAACACATGCACCCATGCCAAACCTCTTTTTTGGATTACTTACCTTCAGTTTTTACCCGCTCTCTTTCCTTATTCATACATAAAGCCAATTTAGACATCCCAGTGACTGTTTTCGTTTCAGCAGCAAAATATTCTGACGAACACTAAGACGCCCGACAGTCGGTCTGGGAATTCTATTAATGTTCAATGCTGGGATATTTCGATACGTTTAGCTCAACTATTTCAGGTCCTACAGTCCCGAAACCGCATTTTTTTGGAGGCCGACCGACTTTTCTCGCGAATGTCATTCTCTGATACGCCATGCCCAATGTTTGTCAGCAAGATGAGCAACACGTCCTGCCCATCGACTTTTTCGCCTGATTGCCAGTATATTCAGCTACTCATCTGGTTGGAAGTTCGATTGCTTGTATGATCACGAAAGGACCCCTGATAACGGAAGCACTAACAACGAACTTATCCGACCCAGACAGCATAAATTTTGAGCGGATCTTCCAATCCTGTTTATTTCATAGTTGATGTCGAAAAAAAAAAGAACGGGGGTGATGTTCTGGTTAAGAAAAATTACTTTGACCAAAGAATTGAACTCTGTCGCTTGTCCGAATTTCTGATGCATCTCCTTCACTTTTCAAAGTTCGGAAAAGAGCGGAACGCTGGGAGCAAATTGCATCTACTTAACTCCTACATGCACTGCATTGTGTTCTCAAGCTTTTGGTGATATTTTACTCGTGAAAAAGTAAAGGCGAGGTGAATGGAATATTTTACCTCGACGTGTCGTCGTTCCTCATCCAGCATCTGCCTGATAATCTTTACACGCTTTCGTTTCCATTCTTCTTTCCGTTCTCCCTGAAATCTCTGAATTGGTGGACTTTTCCAGTCCTGCTAAAAATTTCTATGCGCTTTAGGCTTCCTGTATCTCACTAATTCCAGCAAATTTTTCATACAGATAAAACAGATGAACTTATTAACAATTTTTCTAGAATCTCTTGAACTCTGCTTGAAACTCTTTTTGCAGTACAAAAAAAAAAGCGTCCGAATGCCAGACATTGCCAAAAGTAAGAAAAATTTAGACAGAAGAAAGCGGAAATTAGAAATGATATCGCCGTTGAATTTCACTACTACAAATCATTCATATACTATATATAGCCATTTCTGGAAATACTGTTCAAGGTTATCTACTGTGTTTTGAGATGGAGCAACCAAAGGCATTTGAAAAGTATTGCACAGCGGAATCTCTAAAGCTGTCGAGATGAGCAACCAAATGTGCCGCATTCTATTCTAGCGGACACTACTCCCCAGTAAAGCTGTGCAGAAAAACTTATGGAAGATGCGATGCATTCACACCGGATTTACACAAGGTCAATTAAACCAGGAAGCACGAACGAAGAGTACTTCAATGGGTGCTGGTTCAGTGATAATCGGTTTACATTCTCGAGTTCGCATTTGCAGCATTTCCCGAGCATTCACCGTAAGCGGTGCTGGAGGCGGTCCGAGCAATGTTAAAGCCACTGTTTGACCACCTGAAATGATACACAGCTGTTGAAACAGTTACTGCGCCAGATCGCTGAAGAAATACGAAAATATGCATTTCCGTCGCTATTTAATAATGACTTACATTGGCATTTCACATTCTCGCACTAAACCAGAAAATTCACCCTTCCTTATCTCCTCTTTCAAGCCGTCTCAAGTCCCCTCCCTCCAGCAGCAATAAATTAGCCTAAATGAGGAAATATTAATGTTATTAAGGTGCAGCTACGAACGCATTACGCTAGTCTTGCCTATTCTTTTCTACGGTTCCGGCTTTTGCAATGCATATTAGCTCTCTGACAGTTAGGGAGATTTTTATGCATTTACATATATGAAAGTGCAAAAAACATACTGGCAAGAGGCTGTCTGCGTGTGTGTGTGTGTGTGTGTGTGTGTGTGTGTCTGCGTGTTCGCACTTTTTGTCACCTACTTTCAACTCGAGAACCAGAAAAGTTACAAACGCTGAAGCTTTGGAAGTATGTGCCAACACCATAGCAACCCTCCCGTTTTGATATCATCATCCGCGTGCGCCTGGGTCTCACATACGGAAGCCTTAAATAAATGTGCAAGTTTTTTGGCGGGAAAGCGGCTTAGAAACCAGACAAGGTAAAGGGTTGAAAATTTGCAGGGATAATCTCTGCGCAACTGTGAGCTAAATATTTCAAGTTCAGCCTCCGGGGCAATACGAAAATTTTGGCGGGAAAATTACCAACTCAGTAGCCAGAAAAGCTAGAAGGCTGAAATTTTGAGGGGATGTTGCTCGTCCACGTACAATTTAAAGGTTTCAAATTCGATCCCCAATTTTGCTGGGGAGTACACGTATGGGCACGTGAAATTTTTAGCGGGAAATCTCTAACTCGGCAACCAGAAAAGCTAGAAAGTTGAGGTTTTAGGGGAATGTTCCCTGTCCAAATACATGTTAAATATTTTAAATTCAGCCTCCAGGCATGCGTGTTTCTCACGTACAGACAATTAAAAGTTTTGGTGGAAAAAATACTCATTGAATAGCTAGTAGCTAGTACATTTTCACAGAACGATTGTTAAACGGAAATTGTTCGTTTCCTTCATGTAAAATTTGCAATGATTTATGCTAGTGAGTGCAGAGGATAGGTATAAAGCAACAACCATTCATGCACTTAACGAACTGAGTACTTCAAGTCTGGTACAGAAACGCACGATCGTACCGGCAAGCCTGATGCGTTCCAGCTTGCGTTTTTCTATAAATGCTTTTCAACAATTGTAACATCGACCAACGGGAAAGCTGATTTTTT